TATCGAAGCTCCAAGAATTTCCTAGACTCATCGTTTTAGGACACTGTACCGGTTCTTCACGGAATACGGCCGCCGTTGAAGAGCTCTCATCTACACCAGACGCATCATAAGGGAGAAGCCTGGAGGTGAACTGCAGTAATGCTTTCAGTCTTCGTCTGGTACGCTGATGGCGAGAACTTAATAACTTAAATTTTTGTTAAAGCCCTCCATATTTGTCACATTTTTCATCACAGGCACACTAGGACAAAGTAAAATAATAAATAATTTAGTCTCGATAGCTTAGAGGCACGCCTGATCACTTATGATCAACGTTTAAAGAAAATGTTCCGCAGTAAGCATATTGCGTTGTATGCATTAATCCAAAGTATATGTGAGGAAGACATCAAAAGTAACGTGGAAATTATTTGAGTGCTCTTGGATATAGCCTAGTATGGTGGTCCGTAGACCGTGAATATATTCAGTGGCAAATCACGTCCACCACGCAGTAGTGTCGTTAAATGGACCATTGTGCAGTTCCATAGGAAGAATGCTTGTCAATCAAAGACTCACCACGTCCTGGAACATTGCCGTCGATCAAGTTGGAAGGTACTATATATATGGACACACATGCGAGGTATGCCAACAAATGTAGCATGAGGTCGATACAATGACAAAATAATTTGGATGAAGGTTAGAAACGTTTGAATTCGGTAAACATAGACATATGAAGGCAGAAAATTAGCTTGAGGGGAGTAGAAAAATCCTTCATTTGCTTTTCTTCGGACAATATGTGGCAAAATTGTATACTCTATTTTAATATATGAGTTGTAGCAGGTTGAAATATCGACGAACCATGTGAGGAGATTTTTTCCACTGAGTGCACTTTTGTTCAAGTTTTGGGATTGTTTGCGGAGGTGACAAGCTTATAGTAGTCGTTGTCAGCAGTCCATAATTTTCTTTGATACAGTGACGCTGTTGCTTAGAGTCGGAGACACCGCTCGTCAAGCGGCAACTTTGTTTTACTCTGACGAGCTAGCTACGTTAGGCTTTACTTTCTACTTTCCTGCAAATGTATTTGAGGCGTGTGTTTAGAAAGGTTGCCTGTACCGGGAGCCCAGAGAGCGATTCGAGAAGACGGATCGAGTTGCAGGGAAACTTTTATTGGTACAGTAAAAGATTCCCTGTTATCTAGCTATAAATGAACGACACCGTAGACGCTCTAGCTAGGGGAATGGAGCATGCACAGCACACAGGTCAGTCGCTAGTTGCAACCGAAACGAGCGCCAAGCAAAATGGCGATGAGCAAGTAAAGCATTCGAACTCAGCAATCAGTTCAACAAACCACACCGGTCGCCTAGGTGTACAATGAACTAATTTTAGTTAGAATTTTACACAGGCAAACCGGGGAATCTCCAGACTGCTACATGTGTGAAACTTATCATCCAGTTCTTTGGAAATAATCCACTGCTAGTTGGACGGTACAAGGCGCAATGGTAGAATCCACTGGCGAGATGAATGATGTGAATGGTACGTTAACTCCAGGTATTTCTGTTCCGCTAACGAGCAAATATATAGCACATAAACCAGTTGTTCAGTCTCCAAATAGATTGAATGACTCATCAGCGACATCTTTTCGTCAGGCAAGTAGGTATCGTACACAATTTGGCTGAAGGTAGGCAATGTAAAGTAAATTATTCCTTTTACGTTGAGTTCTAAAAACTTGGTTAGGACAAAATGGTGACGACGTGAAAACCATTTACAGCAGCGTAGGAAGTGAAACGGATTCCCATAGGGCTGCCTATAACTACACGTTTCATTTGTTGTATACGTATACGTTTAAATACAGCACTTTATACTAGCATTCGAAGTGTTAATATTATATGGGAAATAGCAACAAGGCGGGTACTCCGTTGGGCAATGGGCAAGACAAGTTGGAGTAGGGCAAGCAGGAAGAAAGAAGTACGGAAGAGTGGGGAATGCAGTATGTGCAGAAGCTATGTATCAGGTGATAACTATGTAGAGGAACGTGCTCCCAGTGTAAAAGTATTAGTGAGAACGATATAGAATAAGGGGAGGATATAGGTGTACAGCATAAGCAAAAATTTGATGTCCTACGCTCAAAAATGTGGAGCCACAGTATCAAACGTAAGACGGTGTGGCCGTGGAGATAGGTGGTGCCCACTAGGAAATGAATGCCAGCGCTGAGGAAATTGGCGAAGGAAAGAGCTAGTCAGGGGCTACAAAGCGATGTGAGGATGGCCTAGATACTGTGGTTATGGCTAAAAGGAAAACAACTACTGGACATGTCAAACGATGTCTGCGTAGGTGGTAGGAAACTGCTGTGCGACGTCGCCAAATACTTGAGGACTTTTGCTCAAATGTATGGAGCTACAGTGTCAGAGATAAGTCAGTGGAGCTGCGCAAATGGGTGGTGCGCAGGCGGACATCAGAACCAGCGCCAAATAGCTAAGAAAGTTTGCAGGACTAGGCCAGGGAAACGAGGCGAGGTGGTGAGGGACTAAACAGTTTTGATAAGCTTAAATGGAGAAAAAATAATAATGGAATGGATGTCAGCTTAGGGGTAGGGATATAGTGGGCAGCCTAGCCAACTAGTTGAGGTGCTACGCTTGCTGGCAGAATAACATCCCCATGCTGCCCTCTGGGTGGTTCGGGTTAATGTCGTTACAGCAAGAGGTTCGGTGGCAGTGTTCCAGGATGTGGTGGGATTTCGCCTGGCGGACGTAATTCCTAGAAAAATCACAGATATCGGTTTAACAACACTGTGATCAGGCGGATGTGACACGCCACTACATAAAGTCACTGACGCTTACCTTTTACGGAGGATCACGCACAGAGCTCTAAAGGCACCCAATTCGCAGCGTTTCCTTTATTGCGTCCTTTTATGGCGAACCCAGCGGACAGAAACACACATAGTCGCATTAACATACGTAAACAACACGAACACTTCCAAATACACAGTTAGATGTACTTCTACACGTAAACTAACACACAAATTCTTACGCTATTTGTCAAAATATAATAATTTGTGCCATGCCGGATCACATGTGTTCATTACCATGATCATGCCCTCAATGGTGTGCCTCGCATTGACGAGCATAAATAACCTATTTATTTCTATATTTACAGTCTCAAACGTAAGTCGTTGAAGTAGCAGAGGTAGCTGGTGCGTACGACAAATGGAAGTCTAGAAATAAGTGAAGGAGTAGACCAAGGCAATGGAAAAGACACCATGGTGAAAATGTATTATGCGGTGTTTTAAAGCTTAAAATAGAGGAAATATTATTAGAGTTAATGATGTCAGGGTTTAAAGTACAGGTGGGCAACGCAGCTTAATGTCTGAGGTCCTACGCACAGGAGTGGGGAGTTAGACTGTCGAAGGTAAGCCGGTGGAACAGTGGTTGGTTGTGCGTACGAGGAATTGAGAGCCAGCGCAAACGAGCTAAAAGAATGAATAGGAATATGCACGAGTTACGAGGCGAGGTGAATTGGGATTATGCAGTATGGTTACGACAAAATATAGGAAAAGATAATAGCTATAAGGATGTCAAACCTTGTGAAGTATATAGGGAGGCAACCTAGCTTAATACTTGTACTTCCAAGCGTAACGGGACGATGCCACAGTTTGAAAGATAAGTCGGTGGTTCCGCGGAGGTAGGTAGTGCATACTAGGGTATAAACGGATGGGCAAAAATATAGGGGAAGTACTGTGACTAGACACGAGATACAAAGTGAGGCGAGGAGAGTCTATGTGGTGTAGTGATTACAAGGGAAAGAATTACTAGATATGCCGAACGATGTCTTCTTAGTTGGAGGGATATGTTTCGGTAACATAGCCAAATATTTGACGTCCTACTCACAACGTACGGAGCTACTGTGTCAAACGCATCGTTGGAGCAGCATTGGTAGGTGGCGCATATGAAGAAGTGATAGTCAGCGCGAAAGAGATAGCAGAAGGAGTAGCACTAGGCAAAGGATAGAAAACTAGGTAAAGAAAGATCATGCAAAATCTGTAGGGTTAAACCGATGAACGATTATTGTTGATGTCGATGTCAGCTTGGGAGTAAGGATACAGGTGGGAAGCACAGCTAAATATTTGTAGTCCTACGCACATAAGTGCGGGCCTAGAGTGTCAAAGGTAAGGTTGTGGAGCAGCGGAGTTTGCAAAGGGTCATTATACTATAGAGAATGTGCTTCTCGCTGTTGACATAATTCCTTGCAAGAGTAAGGAAGTAATAGGGCAGGTGCTTGTTAAATCACTTTCCCAACCATGACTTTGGATACATGGCCACATTTGCCATCAAAGGTTGCCATGAAATATATCCTCAGTGTAGGATACTAAGAAGCTGACTGCAATCAAAGCCGCAAGTCTAACCCACCGCACATCCTCGCCATAATTCTAACTCAGTACACCTGCGCATTTTGAACCATCGAACAAGTGAATGGGAGAAAGCAGAAGGGAGAACCTTGTCAGCTTCATCGCATCCTGGTTAGCGCGGGTGTGGTGCGTGACGCTGAAGAACGTGCGTCAATATCGATCGTTGCAGCCATAAGGGAAGCAAGACGACCCAGGCATGCGCAGCAAACGGATATCCAACAGCAACTTAAAGGTTTCTTCACTGGATGTGTTGACAACTGGCTATGGCGGATTTGCCATCCTGCAGCACACGAGTCGATAGAGTGAACACCGGACGGACCCGGAGACGGCTTGGCTTAATCAGCATCCAATTGTTTCCCCGCGTCAAGCTTTCAGTGTTCAACTAGAAGACGTTTCGCTACTAGGTCTCAGGCTCGCCTCTAAGAATATGCTTGGCAAATGTCAGGTTTCTTCATCGACGAGGATAATCCAAAAGTCCAACCGTTGTAGGCTGCATGATATGGCAGTAGCGTAACGCCGAGACCGATTTGGAACTTATCCTCTGTATTCTTTAACCATAAAACATGAAGGAGTAAGTAGCTTACAATCCAAACTCAGGAATAGGCCTCAGTTACGAGACAAACAGTGTGATAATTGTACAAACAATACTCAGTGATTGTTTATTGTTATTCTTTTCACCTTTTTGATGTAGAATACACACCCGCGAAATTCGAATTCCAATTCTGGTGTTCTTATTCCGAGTCGTGACTAGTTTGGGTGGAGTTCAATTATTTTCCGATTCAGAACATCATAATTGGCGTCGCAGTCAGCGTTTATTTCCAAATGAATACAACCATCGAATTCTTAAACGTAAATGCATCTCCCCGGGAGTTACAAGAATACATGGAGAGATTCGAGTTATGGTGGCTCACAAAAGATGACCTTCGCGAAGATCTTAAATCTGCCCACTTTTTAACTGTTATTGGACGAGAGGCGTATACGCTTCTAAAAAATCTGGCTTACCCACAGCTGCCATCGAAATTATCAAATGACAAGTTGCGGGACCTCCTTTTATCTCACTTACTACCGGAAAATTTCGTGGTTGCCGAAAGAGTAAAATTCAACTTGCTGATCCGTCAACCTAATCAGTCTATTCGTGATTTTATTCTCCAACTTCAATCTCAAGCATCATCTTGTGCATTTGGAGACAAACTTGACGAATGCCTCAGAGATCGCCTAATTGCTGGAATAAATAATCCCGATTTATATCGTCAGCTCCTATCACTTCCATCGCCGACTTACAATCACGTAAAATCCATCTGTTTGCATTATCAGGATGTTTCTGATATTACAAGAAGCCAGACGACTGTTGATCATCAAGTCTTGTTTGGCTCAGCCAGTCGCCGAGTTCATGCCGAGAAGAGAAAACCGTGGCAAATCAACTCTTTCAAACCACACGGAATTAGTCTATCTCATGCACCGAGAAATTCAGACAGTTTAAAGTGTGGTCAAGCTGATAGAAAGATTGGACAATGTGTCTCTTGTGGAAAGTTGCATTCACGGTATACCTGCCCGCATCGGAATTCCAAATGTCATCATTGTGGGAATGTTGGACATATTCGTAGTGTTTGTCGCCAGTTCAGACGTTGTAATGTTGTGAAACAAGTTGATGATTCCACAGAGAACTTGCCCGACGATTTTCATTCGCTGACATTGGCTGTGAATACGAGTGGCCATTTATACAACACTTTACGTTTCGGAAATGGTATGTCACATCGTTTCATTGTTGACACCGGTAGCGTAGAGTCTCTTATTTCTAAAACGAGTCTCGATCATCTGTACCCTGACGCTCAGCTTGATTCTACGCTCATCACTATTAAAGGTATTACTGGTCATAACATTCCGGTGATAGGATGTTGTACCTTACCAGTGCTAGATAAGCAGTTGAAATCTGTCGAGTGTAAATTTGTTGTCATTCGTCAAGGCCCGTCCATACTCGGTCTTAAAGTTATGCAAGCACTTAAAATAAGTGTCAATTTTCTGTCACATACTGATACTGAAACCCAAATTCTTGATTTAGTACACGATTGTTCGGTTACCTCTGGTGGAATGAGAATTCCGCCTGTTAAGTTGGAAGTGGCCGGTGATCCAGTTTTCTGTAAACGACGTGTACTTCCATTTGGACTTAGAGAACCTGTTCGAAAGGTACTTATGTCTCTTTGTGAATCAGGAATTCTCGTCCCAGTACAAAGTTCACGATGGGCCACACCTATTGTCACACCGTTAAAGCCGGATGGACAGACACCGACAGTTTGTGGTGATTACCATGTCACTCTTAATACGAAGCTGCTGCAGCTTAGTTGTGTCACGGAAGAACCTGCTTCTATTCTCTCGCGTCTACACGGATCCAAGATTTTCTCGAAGCTATACTTAAAAGATGCATATCTGCAGATACCACTGACTGATGAGTCTAGTGAACTGACCACAATCAATACACCTTTTGGGTTGTATCGCTATAGATTTCTTCCTTTTGGTCTTAATGTGTCGCCAGCCATATTCCAAGATGTAATGAACTCCATTGTGAAAGATCTGAAGGGTGTTGAGGTCTATCAAGACGATGTTTTTGTACATGCTGTTAACAAACCGACACACGACTACCGAGTACTGGCACTTTTAACTCGCTTCAAGGATGCTGATGTGAATATCAATCCTAAGAAGTGCTTAATTGGTGTCCATGAAATCAGTCGTCTTGGTTATCAGGTTACATCTGAAGGATTCAAACCAGATCTTGATCGGATAAAACCATTGGTTGATGTGAAGTCCCCCACCAATGTTCATGAGCTTCGATCACTGATGGGCGCTTTACAGTACTATTCCAAATTCATTCCTGGTTTTGCATCCATTGCTGATCCTTTATTCACCTTGTTGAATGACGAGAGTTTTGTTTGGTTAGACAGACATGAACATGTTCTTCGGTAGCTTTTAAAAATTCTTGCATCTGGTTGTGTTCTTCACACCTTTTCTCCTAAATTACTTACTGTGCTTTTCACAGACGCTTCACCCACTGGTATTGGGGCTGTGTTAGAGCAGAATGGACACCCCGTTCTGTGTAGTTCCAGTCGACTAAGCAATGCTGAAAAAGGATATGCTCAGACTCATCGAGAAGCTTTGGCTGTATACTGGGCAGTCACTAGACTTCACAAATACTTGTTTGGCCTCAGATTTACCACTGTGACAGATCATGAAGATCTGAAGTTCATTTACAATCCTTCCAGTTCTTTAGCTAAGTCTTCAGCAGCCATGGTCTAATGGTGGAGTGTTGCCCTTAGTGCGTATAACTATATGGTCGAGCACAGAAGTGCGAAGCTCATTCCTCACGTCGACTACTTATCACGTACTGCAACGATATTTGAAACCGATTCTGAAATGAGTTGTTTACTCACCCAGCCGCTTACAAACTCTCGTTCTGCCCTTATCAATGATACTAAAAGGTAGTATGGGTCATTGATTTCTGCTGTCAAACGTGGTTGGTCGGTTTCTCTCAAACGGAAGTTCCCACAATTTTATGTGCGTCGTGATGAATTGTGTGTTACACCTGATGGATTACTATGTGTAAATGAACGCATTGTTATCCCGCGGACTTTGAGATCAGCTATTCTAACGGATTTACATTCCGGTCACCTTGGTGTTGAAAAGATTAAGTCTTTAGCTCGATGCTTGTGCTGGTGGCCTGAATTAAATGCAGATATTCGACGAACTGCTTCTGGTTGCCCGAACTGTAAACACAAAATTTTACGGCAACCGTCAAAGTGGACACCATGGCCGATGACATGCGAGCCCTGGCAAAGGGTACATATTGATTATTGTGGACCATTTCTGCAGAAGTACCATGCTCTTGTGGTGGTGGATTCTTATTCAAAGTGGCTGGAGGTATTCCTGACTGATAAACCAAATTCTGCTTTTACTCTCCGTGCCTTGAGAAAAGTGTTTAGTAGAGAAGGAGTCCCATTAGCAGTGGTACGTGACAATGGTTCGCACTTTTCGGCTCCAGAGGTTACTAATTGGCTTCAGAGCCTTGGGTGTCGCCACCTTTTTACCGCTCCACGACATCCATGTTCTAATGGCCTAGCGGAAAACTTTCTTGCAACCTTAAAACTTTCTATTACCTCCTGTGCTCCTACTTCTTTTGATGAACTTGATCGTTGTGTTGATAACTTCCTTCTTCAATACCGTAATTGCGTGCATTCCTCTACTGGAGATACACCTGCCAAACTTTGTAAATCCAGACCATTGAGGTCAAACATGCTTGGCTTGGGGACTGCTGAAGTATCTTAGTTCAGAGGCAATGATTTACGTCCCTCATCTGGTATCATTGTTAACAACATTGGAAACCGCATGGTTAGAATTTTGGATCTCGATGATTGTTCTGTACACAGACGGCATGTTGACCAGATACGATACAAGGATTCCGGTCAGTTGTCATTCGATTCAGTGTGCACTGAAAATACTAATGTCCATTCAGTTTCAGATCCTCATGAGTATTCTGAGCAAAATCAGCCTCCAAGAAGATCTGCCAGATTGCAACAGAAACCACAGCTGAATTACAGAAACCTGGAGTTGCATTCAAGCTGCGGAGGATGTGATAATTGTACAAACAATACTCAGTGATTGTTTGTTGTTATTCTTTTCACCTTTTTGATGTAGAATACACACCCGTGAAATTCGAATTCCAATTCTGGTGTTCTTATTCCGAGTCGTGACTAGTTTGGGTGGAGTTCAATTATTTTCCGATCCAGAATATCATAAACAAGTTTTGAGATGTCCGGGGATAATCGAGAGGAGAACCTTCTTACAGCGCTGAACATCCTGTTAGCTGCACTTACTTACCTCTAAGTAACTAAATAAATAGGTATATTTCTAGGCTGGCTAGATGCTGCACCCGTAAGGGATCAGAGCGAGGTTTTCATTAATCCTAGGCTTTTGCATGGGAATAGGAAATATGTGAGTATATGTTTCTTCTTGGCAATTACCAATGCATGGGCTTTGTTAGGTATATAGCTGATGAGGTTGTACGCGCCCACCTTGAATTTCTTCTGGCTCTTACAGGCGACATTAAGTTCCTTGATTTTGTTTGTTGTGAAATTTGAGCAGAGCCGTAATTTTGCAGGTTTTCTTTGGATGCAGGATCCAATTCACCACAAATTCACTATAACTTTGGACTTTTTCGGCCCGCTGAGTAGTCACAATAATAGGTGCGCACATGGAAAGAAATAAGAGCGGCGGAATCATAAGGAACATAAAAAGGTTAAAAATAATTGCTGGAGATGTAAATAAAGACGAAACGTTTATATTAAGGGACATACTAAGGCGGCGTACTTCACTAGAAAAATACAAACGAAGAAATAACCAAAATTTCTTGCGCCAACTTTGAGCTCTGGCGCCAAATTTTAACCTGAGTAAATCTCAAAACAAAAGATAGACCTTTCTTAATGCTAAAGTATTGCAAAAAGTAGTATGAAGCTAGAGTGCTGAGAACCAATTTTTACCGGCGCATGCCTTAAAGAGATAGCAATGCAATACGTGTAGTAGTTCAAGAGTTATTTGCAAATGATTGGCAGGCCTAGGAATAACGCCATTATGTTTTCATTAAACTTTCTGCTTTGCAAGCAGATACCAGAAAAAGAAAAGGAAATGTAGTAAGTGGAGAAACGGTATACGTTCTAAATAGGCACAGCTAGCTAGAAATGTTCTATATAGCCCGAAATACCACGCAACATCTAGGTACGACGTAGGTGTCCAAAAGGCAATATTTTCAGGCAAACATAGCAAACCTAGGCAAATATGTTATGATCTTTCGCGAAAATAATATTAATCCAGTGAGGAAGGTTATATTTCCAGGGTCACTTACAATTAACCTACAGTCAGAAGGTCTCATTGTACCATTTTCATTGGACACTAAGCCACAAAAACCACTAGGAACATAGAGGTTAGTAATTTCTACGCCTTTAACTGGTTGCAAAGTTTATCTCAAGGCTACATGAGCTAGGTTCACCTGAATGCCACAGGAGACCTTTAGGATCACTTGACACGTTTTGGTCTGGAAAACCCACATATTACCAAGATAAATATCGCAAGTTTTAGCTCTTATAGGCGATTTTCTAAATTCATAAAGCTGTCTCCAACACCATTGAGCTAAATTAACCTGGCACTAATGATAAAGAAGTGAGTATCGGAAATTTGGCACAATTTAGCAAGGTGCTTCGGAGCGTGAAGTCTATTTTGGTCTGCGTTGGTGGGGCTTACCAGCATGGTTTGAGCTTGCTCGATCATGAAGGAGTACTATGCCTCATGGTCTGGTACACACTGTAGTGCAGCCCTTTGATTAAGTTTGAGCTATTTCCTTCCAATTTTATGTTCTAAAGCAAGTGACAGCGCTGTTTAATGGAAGTGGCAATGTTACCCAGTGCTGTAAGGACGCACCAGCTGTATCTTTGATCGTTTTCCTGTCAAGCGCTGTTCTAGCTCCCTAAGTAAAGTGTGAGAAGTTAAAGCAAGAGTAGGATAGTAAGTAAGAAAAAAGTAGGAGCTGATTGTTCACCCACCACTACGCATAACGCGTGACAGGCTTTGGAGCCAGGTAAACGATAAATAACGTACGGGCGGCCGAGACAAGGCGGTTGCGGTAAACTATTTGGGCTATCCAGACAGCCAGTGTAACGGAAGCCTCTCGGTCGCTAGTTAGCTTTCGTGCCAGTGAAATGGGATCAGGAAAGGTGAATGTTTTACTGGAAAAAGCAGTTAAAGAAGCTTATCTGCTTTTCAGTATGCCTGTCTACTAGTGTTGCCAATAGTGATAAGCTACTTTATAACACATAAAGCTAAGTAACTGGGACCAAGGAAGGATATCTAAAGCGTAAAATGGCAGACGTTTAGGCCTATAGATTTTAAAGTGGTCTCTATCGACAGGCTGGAAGGTATATATTATTATGCGGTAAGCATACCGATTGTAGTTGGAAAAGGCGGAATAAAGTATTTAGTACTCAGGCTTATTGGCAACGCAGCAATGAAGGCCAACTAGCAATTGACATCTACGAAGGTACAAAGAGATTCTTCTAAAGCTGGTATTTAGAGGATGTTTTGGACAATTCTAATGCTAATCTTGGGTGTACCGGTAAAACACTCCATTACAATCTCTCATACAAAGCTTAGGTCTGGTAGGAGGCCTTTACTAGGCGTACCGCAGAGCTAGTAAGCCTAATGTTTTTCCACGGACCCAGTGGTCTACTAATTTGGAAAGTGATAAAAGGTACAGTTGAAGACAAGGAATGAAGGTGTAGATAAGATGTAAGGATTGAAGTTTGCCGGCTCGGATGGCTTCGTCCTTGCCCTGCAATATCCTATATAAATAATACCCACGGATTTGCGAACCTGCCTGTCAGCAGGCTATGCTGTACTGTTTGTTAAACTTTGTAAACATCGTCGAAGTGACTACTGAAACAGGGAAGCCGAAGGCTTGTAGATACCGGTTGGTCCACGCAGTCTTTAGAGCAGCGTGTCAGTGGGGGAACCGAAGCAAGTCAGAAACTAATCAGAAATGGCTAAATAACTTTTGCATTCAGAATTCTAAACTTAACACGTGTACGATGCGTGCGACTGAGCCGACTGAGACCTCTCGGGCATTGTGATTGCGGTAATGGATAAGATGTAAACGTGGGGTCATTGATGGAGACAATCGATGGGGTTATCCCTTACAGGATGCTATTGTGGTGGCGCCCACTCTTCCCATAGTGCAGCCATAAGGCGGAATTATCCGTAGGCAAACACAATCAGGTCAAGAAGAGCTCCTTGAAGACTAAATTCGTCTCGTACTCGGATTTCTATTCCTAAAACCTAGAAAATGAATGCGAGGGACGCCGCTAAAGTCTCTTAAGTGTTAAGCCGGTAATAACAATGAATGCATTTGGAGCTCAAGGTGCTGAGATGTCCTGCACTACACCGTGGCGTCCCCAAGCTACTTTAGGGCCGGTTTCGAAGAAGTGGCCTGGCGATTCGCAGATAGTGAAGATGCATTAAATATTGCAAACCCATAGGAAGCTTTGTATTTCCATCCTGAATGCCTGCAAGTTTTGGCTTTGTCTTAATCCTGGGTTGTTTTAAGATCAGGAGACACAATAGGGCCTAGGTCATTTGCAGTTGGCACCCGTGCACATCTGACCGCCAAGTTAGTATGCGCTGATTTGTAGGACGTAACACTTGTCACGATTACTCGGCAAACCCCAAGTATTGGACCAACCGTTAAGGTTGTCAAGGGTTGACAGTAATCTGTCGGTAACATTGAGGTCAGAAAAATAACCATGGTTCCAAATAATCCGATTTGATTAAACACCCCATCTGAAGCACAGGGATAAGATTGCTGCGAAAGATTTTGTACCATTCAGGACCAAGGAATGAACCATGCCGCACACCACTGGTCATCAGGAAAATATGGGAAAGCGCTTCATTCACTTTGACTCAATGGACCGAAGTGTACGAACTCCGCTATCAAATAGTGGATATCCCCTGTGAAGCCAGTAGTCCGAAGTTTAGGACGTCGTGCATGCGGTACGTTATCAAACACCGTACGAAAATCGATAAAAGCTATTTATGGAAGTCTATCAGCGTCTGGTGCTTTGGCCCATCTTTCTCTAGCGACAAGCAGGTTAGAAACGCAAGTATGCGCCCCCTGGAACCTGCGCTGTGGAGAAAAAATTATATTCAGGGCATCATAGTCACGCTGTAGAGTAAGGTTTAAAAGCCTCTCCATGATTTTACAAACAATCGACGTCAGGCAAATTGCGTTGTAGTTACAAGGTTTCTGCCGGTTCCCACCTTTGTATATTGGCTTGCTGTTACCAACTAGACAATCGGATGGAGGGCGACCAATTGCCAAGGAGGGCCAAAAATATGACTTTTTTGGTTTGAAATATACTCAGCAACGGTCTAGGGAAAGAGTTGATGCAAACCATCTGGACCAGAAGACGAGTTGGTGCCCAATTCAAGAAGCAGCCTGAGTACCGATTCCCCGTTTACCTCAAAAGCACCAGGAGGTGAGCTAGGAGCCACCCACATTTCAACCCCAAACCTTCCCTTTTCTGAGTGGTCCGGAACTTCTTGGGGATTTGGGGTTGGAACGAGAATGTGCTTTTGCGCGGGACAGGACATAATAACCCACAAGGACCTAAAAAGAACATGGCTGTACAACAAATGGATACAACTGCACTCACTACCACGACCATTGTCCAGTAATGATAGCTGGACACGATGCCGTCACAGTCCAGTAAGGTATCCTTAACCTGAAAAATATAGACACAAAAAGCTGACGTTCTGTTCACCTGGACACTCCTAACGACGGCCCTTCGTGAACCTCCCATTCTCGATTGTTCTCAGCGGTTATGGCGGTCCTGGCCGAGATATCTGCTCAAAAAACAGAGGAAATTGGAACTCATTTGACTGTGAATAACTGAGTGTGAAATCAGGCGGCAAGCTGCTCTGCCATTTGTAAAATGGTGTACAAACGGCTTTCTGACCGTGCTCTAGGACTTGGTGGGTTTTTGCCTGACAAGCACCCCCCTATATAATGCCACACATGTTCGTTTAAAAACCCTGCGACGTGGCGGATGTGACTCGCCCTTGAATATAGCCACTGCCCACAACTACATACTGGCGAGCCGACTAGAATCATAATGTAATAT